ACTCAACTTTATTAGCATGAAAAGAAAATTTTACAAACTACCGGAAATCACCAAGACTCTCGCGGCCTGTCACCCTCGCGATCGTCTCAACAAAATCCAAAAGTCGAGAACTCTACTTCTACGAAAGCGGAAAGGAACCCTAACCTAAAAAGCTTAGAACTATGAACAGAGAGTGTATCTCAAAGTGTGTAAAGTATGTATTTACAAGGTGAAAGCCCTTTTTATAGGGTCAGAAAAACAAAAGAAAACAAAAGATGGAAAAGGAAAGGGGAAAAACGAAAAAAATGGGAGATGGAGAACCTTGCTGACGCTTCGATCTCTCCACGTGGCAGCTCCGGTCAGCTCTTCTTTCTCACTGGTCAGCTCCAATCATCTTCTCCTCTTTATCTTCACCGGTCAGCTATCCAGGAAGCTCTTCTCCTTTGGGCAGGTAATGTGCTCCTCTCTTCAACTCTCTTCACTCATGGGAGCCCTAGCTTAGCTCGAAGGTTCTTTTCTTTTACTCAAATGCACGAAGACTTCTTCATTTTGCCAAAATGATTTGCAAATCTGAGACCCCAATGACAGCCTCTGAAACGCAACGTTTCATTAAAGGAGAATTGGCCCAATTGTTGCTCCCTGCTGTTCAATAGATTCAGCCACAAAATAGCCCAAAGATGGATCAGGGCCCAGTGTTTCTGCTGGCTGTTCAAGCCCAAACCAGATCCTAAAATAATAAAAGAGTTAGAAAAAAAATATTATGAGATTAAAACCTAATTAAAACCAAACATTTTTATTAAAAGAATTTCAAAAACATACTAATTTCCTAATTATTATCAAAGATTAAAAATTACATCTAAAAACCTATTTTTAACTAAAATTTTACAATTCTAAAGAATTAAAAGAAAAACATAAAACTAGCCTAATTCTAAGAAATTAAAAACTAAAGAAATCTAAGAAATGATTTTTAACAGAGAAAAATATGTAAATCTAGAGTGTTATCACTTGTGTGCGAAAAGGGGGTGCTCGGGTATTGAACATTCTTTGTATGAGGTTGACGATGTTTGCTTTGTCTTTGTGTGGCAGGAAACATGTTCCTTAGCCAGGTAGGCGGGACTACTCGAGCAGACCTGTAGGAGAGGCTACAGGTTTGAGATATGGTACAAGAGTGTGGCTGATTCTTTTCAATATGGAGTTATGATATTGTGGAGACTCATGGTTTTATTCATGATGACATTAGTTCTGATTGAGGTACATGTGATGATGATTTGTAGTTACGATGTGTTTGGAGACGATGTTGATAAGGATGACGTTGATGGTATAGTAATGATATAGTTGATGAGGATGTTGATGATGATCATGGTGTATAGATGATTCTGTTAGTAGGATAACATTGTAGATGATTGATTTGTTATTAAGTTGTGTTTGCTTACTATGTACATATTTTATTGTTATTGGTTGTGCTATGGTAGTTTACCTATATTTGTTTGTGTTTGTGGTTGTGTGTGTCTTGCGATGATCGTATAACTTTTGGTTAGCAGATGTTGCAGATGCTCCAGATGCATGATAGAGACGCAAGAGTAAAAATAAGACTTGTGTTATTTAAAGTTTTTGTACTATAAATGTTAGAGACAATGTAATCGGGTTTATTTTATTTCGTTTTTATTTTACAAATTTCGGTATTATGTAAATGGATTTCCGTGATGGTATGATGATTTTAAAACTTTTTAAATTTTACTCGTAATCAAGATATCCCAAAAATCGAAATGTTATAATTAACATTGATTATAGGAACGAAACGAGATTCCAAACACAAATCCTTTTTATCAAGGGAATTGTAACCCTCAAGTCCTCACCAAAGGAAATAGAAAAATAGTTTCAAAATCAAATATTTATTTTCTTTAGTATATCCAATAGTCTGACATCACCAAGAACAATTTAAATACATCTTCTTTCATTAACTTTTTGAGATATCTTTTAAAACTAAAATAACGAGGAAGAGTTGAACTCCAAAGGAACAATCATCGAATGCAATAATTAACTTTAATGATATTATTTTAATAAACTTATATTCTAAATAAAATGTTACAAATATATTTAATAGTAAAATAATGTTAATTATTATTATTTTATTTAGACTATGAATTAACATTTTACAATTTAAATTTAGCATCTTAATATTAGTGTAATTTTTCTCCTCCTTATTAATAAATATATATATATATATATATATATATATATATATTAAATAAAAATTGAAATCATCATATAATAAAAGGTCATAAACACAAAAATATTAGCACGAATAAATATATACTGCAAAGTTCTCTCCTTTCGTGGAATTATTTTCTCTCCTTATAAACCTAAAGGAGAAATATAAATTCATTATTTTACTATTTGTCCAAACTTATAAGTGTGAAAAAGCATGTCATGAAATGAATGCGGAGTGTAGTCACAACAGGACATATAAGAACAATATATTTAATTTTCTTTGTTTTTAGGTTTTAGTATTATATTTATTTATTTATTTCTTAGTTCATTGAAAGATATGTGATTTACATATATAATTTGACTTTTGTGTGCTTTANATATAATAAAAGGTCATAAACACAAAAATATTAGCACGAATAAATATATACTGCAAAGTTCTCTCCTTTCGTGGAATTATTTTCTCTCCTTATAAACCTAAAGGAGAAATATAAATTCATTATTTTACTATTTGTCCAAACTTATAAGTGTGAAAAAGCATGTCATGAAATGAATGCGGAGTGTAGTCACAACAGGACATATAAGAACAATATATTTAATTTTCTTTGTTTTTAGGATTTAGTATTATATTTATTTATTTATTTCTTAGTTCATTGAAAGATATGTGATTTACATATATAATTTGACTTTTGTGTGCTTTAACTGAGTTGTTCACACACATAATTCTGACTCAATACTAAAGTAGATTAAATTATTAAATTATTTACTAAGGAATAATAATTGAATATACTAAAAACAAATATGAATACGAATAGGTGAAAAAGAAGGAATAAATATATGGAAAGAAATAGACTACAGAGAGTGAAGAGTCAGAGGAGAGATAAATTGATATATTTTTCTATGCTTGAATTTTTCTTACTTTTATATTTTCTTCAGTTTTAAAAAAATAATATTTATATCAACAAATTAATAGTAATTGATTTGAGTTGTTAACTTGTATTATATATATATATTATTTCATCGACATGACATGTTACAATAGAATGAAGTTATAATGAATGAAATAATTTTATTTTTATTACACACAATTTATATCAATTGAAGCAAGGCAAATAACTAGCATATATATATTTTTGAGTTGTGTTTCAAAAGGTTTATCATATCGTAGGAATAGTCCGTGGATTGGACGTTTCGGCCGGCATCTAAACCAAGTTGTGAACAAAAGACGGATAAATTCCTTAATTTTCAAAGAAGAGAGAGGAAATAAATAATAATCAAAGTGCAATTTACCTAAAATTTTAGTATTTTCTTTTATAATAACTTCTCTCTTTCTTTCTCATTGACCGTTTCTTCCGCGTTCACGTTTACATCAATCAACGTCAAACCAAACCAATTAATCTACTTCAATTAATTCTATATATATAGATTTTGTGCCAATTCTAGAACATCTTGCTAACTCAGAAATCATCTCAACCGTTCACGTCCCCAATAATTAGAACACCATTTGTTCCTTTGCCTTTCGAGCATTCAAACTTCTTATTCAGATAAGCTTTACACTGTCTCTGCCTTTTAAACCCTCCTTCCTTTCTATCTCATTCCTATGTTCTGTGATTTCGTGCCTCATAACAAACTCTTTTTGACTTTCATGCTCACCTGCAATCACAAGCCTTTCTATAAGATACTTTGCTCCATTTCATATATAATATACAATAACTACGACAAATCGTATTTTCCCATAGAGAAATCAAACAATTGGGTCATCATTATTCCAGAAAATGAGAAATTCTGACTTCCGTGTTCATATTTAAGGATGTCTTGTTCAGATAAACAAACAAACTCTTTCACTTGGTGCATGGAACATGTTTTTCTTCTGAAATCGCTTTAAATGATGAGTAGGAGATGAATATATTACAGGATTATGGGTGTTTTAGTCTCTGTGTCTACATGAAAAGAAAAAGAGGCTTAATGAATACGATATAAGAAAAATATGCATAATTTTGGGGTTTTTCAATAAATTAAAAATCCAATATGTGCAAATTACAAGCGCGTTATATTCCATAAATGATCACTTTTTTTTACACGTTGTGTTTTTATTTAGAAACAGCAACGTACTTACATAATCAAAGAGATATACCTAAGTTTCGTACGCAACGTTGAACTAAAATGCCTCCAAAGTAATAATACAAGAAGAAGAAAAACAATGGAAGAAGACAGTTTAGCAAGGTTGACGTTGACCACCTGAGTTTATCCTCCGCCTTTTAGAAGGAAAAAACTGCCGGAAATCGCCGTGAGTGATGGTGGCAACATGCCATTGATCCAAGATCAACCTATCTTCCAAACCAAAATGTTGTTGAACCGTGGATGCGAGTCCATCGTCGAGAAATCCTGTAGGGTCATGGCACGGCGGTTTGGCCTTCCGGCGACCTGCCCCTATGGGTACGTTGCGAAGGGCTCCGCCGGCCGTCCAGTACCTCTGGCAGCCCTTGCAGAAATGCCTTGGCTGATTAACGTTGTAGTTGTTGAAGTAGCAAAACTTGGTTTCCATGCTCTTGCATCTTGGACATGGTATGATCCTATCAGGTCTCTTCTCTTCTGTCCCTTCTTCACTCTCTTTATCATCTTCTCTTGTTTCTCTACCATGCAAGGTGATCGTTGTTCCAAACAGCTTAATCCCTTCACTCGCTTGGCCACTCTGTACTTTGGCCATTTTCTCAGGGAGAGCACAGAAAAAGAGAGAGAGAGAAAATGATTATTCGTAGTGAAGAATGTTTAGGTTGGTGTTGAAGAGGAAAAATACCAAGGTATTTTTATATATGCAAAAGAATAGTTAGTCGAATGATAAACCATGGGTTTTTGGTAGAAAGTCCATGTGAAAAACGCCAAAACGTAGGTGGAATATAAAGTGCGTTGCGAATTAAACTAAATAAAAGAGAAAAAGAAGAAAAGTTAAAAGGGTTTTGGAAGAGTAGAAACTGGAAAAGCTATGGATGAACTTTTTGTACACGTTAGTAGTCTACGTCATGACCATGCACTGCTAAAATGTATACATACAGTGCAGGCCCAATCCAGGTAGATCTCTTGCTATGTGTAAAAGGGATGTTCATTTTATACTATAAATCTTGTAAAGAGGAAAAGTACTCGTAACAAAGAGAACCAAAAGAACTATTGAAAAAGTCATCAAATTTTATTATATATACTTATATTCCATTTTCAAATGTAAGCCAGCTCGAAAATATTATGTTAGCCAAAAGAGGGTCTGGATTCTGTGTTATTTATAGCTTCTTTATAAAAAGTTCAGAGGAGAAGCCAAGGAATATTGTATATGATTATTTTTGTTTTGGACGTCTAAATTCATTGATCTTTGAAACTTGGCTTTGAAGTTTGGAGAATAAGGATGTTTGGTAGGTTATGATAATGAATAATTAAGTAATTGATTATGCTGTGAGTATGATTCGGCAACTGTTTAGATAAGTTATTGATCGTGGTGTGAGGCATATACATAGCACAAAATGTAAATTGCATCGTCTTCTGTACTCTCTCGCAATTGTTTTCATATTAATGATTCAATTTTTTTCTTAATTACTCAAGTTAATTTGTGTTTGTCTCTATTAATTACCAGTCCCTTAGAAAATTAAATTTATCCATTTTTAATATTTTATTACTAAATAATAAGCCACTATTCAAAGAATTGTCATAATATATATTCTTACACAAAAAGATAAAGTCTTCTTTAATGTAATTACCCATAAGTGGCTTAAATTAAACAATTGAATAAATGTAAGATTATTTTTTATTAATATTGATCACAGTTGTTTTAGTTCACATTAATCAAGATTACTGTTTTTACAGTCTTTTTGACCAATGTTAGCTAAGAATTTCTCGTTATTGACCATCATTATTTTAGCTTACCTTAGTCAATGTTATTTTGTTGACAATTGTGGTAGGTTCTTTTCCAACTTTAGGATGAATATACATTGAAAATTTTGTCTTGCTAACATTGTTAAAAACATCTTACTCAACTATTTTTCCTTTTATCCACAAATTTTAGTTATTATTTTTTTTATCGGCAAATCTTACTTAACGATCAACGATGATGACGGAAAATTTCCACAACCAACATTAGAAAAAATTTATGACCAACTTTGGAAGAAAGATTACACTACTAATATGCATAAAAAATAAAACTTTGCAAACATGAAAAGAAAACTTAATAAAATATAAAATGAAAAAAATAACCACGACCTATATCAATTAAAAATTAAACCTAGTTTATCTTAACTAAAAGAAATTATGTTTAATATTAGTAAAAAAAATGTTAACATAACTTTCTCTTAATTTATTTTATCCAAAATCATTTTCAGTTTATATCAACTACAATTATTTAGGTTAACATTAATCAATATTATTTTTTATTACGTGCAGTTGAAGGATTCTTTTACAATCTTTTTGATTGTTGTCAATGGAAAAATTTTCCCAATTGACGACATTGACAAAATAATTGATAGTTAATGTTTGTTGGAAATTTTCTTATTCATCATAAGAAAAAAAGGTCCTAACATTGACAAGAATAATGTTAGTGTGAAAGATAAAAAGAATTATCACTATAAATATCCACAAACAAAAAAATAATAATCACAATAAATATGAATCATATAAATAGTACTTGTCAAAAAACAACTTCCTCAATATTGGTTGAGAAAACCTTATCCAATATCTGAGAACAAATAAATAACATTGACCTACAACAATGACAATAAATAATATTAATAATTTAAATAAAAAATAACTTCTATCACCACTAAAAAAAATAGAATAAAAAAATTAATTCCAACAATATCTATGCCTATAATAAAATTAACAATGTTCTAACCAAAATTTGAAAGGAAAAAATTATGAATAAAAAAACATAAATTTAAAAATATAAAAAATTGTAAATTCTTAACTTTTTGTTAAAATTTAGATTTCTATAGTTTTAAAAAATAAACCATTCTTAAAAAATTCTAAATTTTCAATTCTTTTCTAAATTTATTGTTCAAACAATATATGTTATAATAAAATATATAAATTTTTCTGTAAAATAAAATTATTAAAACTTTTAATATAAGAATATCAATAATTATTTTTCATGTTTTATCATAAAATATAAAAGTTAAAAACATAAATTTATTTTGAAATTAGTTCATTTAAAACATAAGTATGACATACTAAATATAAATTCAAATTAGTCTCTTTAAAACATAAGCAGAAGTAAATAAAGTAAAATACATAAAGTAAAAAAAACATATAATTTGAAATTTAAGTTTATATATAAAATATTTGTCTGAAAGGAAATTAATGTAAAAGAAAATTGCATAAAAGGAAGGAAATTAATTTAAGAAACTCCACTTCCTTGAAAGTGTTAGAAAAGCATAGGGATACATATATTCTACACGTGAGTCGGAATGATCTAGGCTTCACTTTTAGTGTCTTTTAAAAGGATATCGTAGTTCACTCACCAATCATATTTTATTACACATCGTGCAATTTTTTCTATCTGCATTTAGATATATTGCTTCTTAAAGTCACATCCTTTAATGCCATTTGGTAGCACTTTTCACAAAAAAAAAAGCCAACTTTTTAGCTACCAATAGAGTTTTAATGTATTTCTTTATTAAAAAAGAATACTTTGCCAATAAATTTTTTAATTAATTCCTTAATAATAGAAAATCTAACAAAATATTCTTCAAGAATTTCTACACACTATACAAGTGTGTAATTAATTTAAAAATATTGAATAAAATTTAGTACGCCAACAACGTTTTCTATCTTAAGAGACTTTTATATGCCTTTTTTCTAACTAAAGGGGTTTTCATAATATTTATTTGGAAAGTGATCCCATTTCCAACTCATTACTCTGTTTTTATAATGAAGATTAGGAAGCATCAATTAACTTTCTTTATCGATAAAAGATAAGCTTTTTCCTGGGAATTATTTTAAAGTCAATCACCACATAAAGTTATCGGAGCAAAACATCATAGTCATAGATTTTCATTAAAATAACGGAAAAGTTTCATGTTCTTTATCTAATCTGGTCACAGAATTCGAACTCGTTGTTCATTGTTACTTTTTTTCTTTTCCACTTTCCTTCTTCCTTTACGCAAGAAAAAGTGAAATCAAATAAAATTGTGCAATCAATGAAATATTAGATTCGCTAATATTATATGTGCAAGATCTGCCAATTACCAAATATTTTTGCTCCTGGATACATTTTATTTTAAACCAAGTTCCTCGATTAATATTATTAGATAACCACTATACATTTAAAATATTATTCTTTTTAAAGTATAAAATTCTGTTACGGGTTTTTATTACAGAATACACATATTTTTTGACATCACTCTTCGATAATATTGAGAAAATCATATCCTAGTTATTTTAGGTATTTGAAATAACTAATTTATGATGCAATCTAACGATCAGTAGTGCAAGGATTAAGATTTTTCGAGTGGGATCCATTGTACGTGTAATTTAATTTACAAACGTATTATGTTATTTGTTGTACATAATCATAATGGTAGAAGGGTTTTATTTTTCACTACAAAAGCTTGAAAGAAAAGTCATTATCTATTCCATTTTCCATTCTTCTCTTTCTTCCATGCCAAGTGTTGTGCCGCTAGTAGGGCTTCACTTTCCAGAAGAGAAAAAAAAACTCAGTATCAACCCCTATGCATTGCAATTGTGTCCAACTATCTTGCCAGAACCTTACTTTGATTTGATAATCCTAGTGATAGTTATGTTGTGAATTTATTATATTTAAATGAATTGGATTAATGTGAAAAATAATTACATTCTTTTTAACAATTGACCACTTGATTAAGTAATTTTAGAAATAAGATGTTAACATTTTATTAATATTTAAGTTATGTGAAAATTTAAAAAATAGAGTATTAGAATTTATTATTGTTTTAAAATAACGAGGCTGCATATTTTAAAGTTAAAATAATTTAATAATATAAATATAATTTCTTAAACTCGTCTTATTATCTAAAACATAAACTATTTTTCTAAAAACTCGTTTCTTGAGTTTTTCTACCTTTTCTCTAAGAAATCTAATTTCTCGATCATTTGTTTGACGATCAAGAAGTGCCTAGAAGATCACAGTTGAGTAATCTCCATTCTTATCCGATCAGTTTTTGATTTAGAACAAGTAAGTTTCTACTTATTTTCCTTTTTGTTCTCTATTTATGATCATACTTAGGAACCCCTTCACATGTTCTCTAATTACTCACTCCAATCACAATTTGGTAATTTGTAGGGGTTTCTAGAGTTCCTTGAGCTCGAAACAAGGATAGTGTACCGTGTAGAACTTGGTACCATCCTTTAAGGTAAGGAAAGCTAATGTTATCTTATAATTGATTTATTGAGTATGAAAGGATATTTGATAGTTTATGAAACTAATGAATGGTGTTGATTGTGTTAAAATGATATGGTTTTGAACACCCCTTTCTAGGCACCTGAGCGCACTTTCTAGTGACTCCAGCTTTGAGCGCACCTTTCTAGGTGCTGAGCACCACCTTCCAGTGGCTTTGATGCTGAGCGGTGGTTGTCTAGCGCTAAGCGCCATGTTCCTTTGATGATTTTTGAGTTCTTTCCCTTTTGTTTCTACGAATGATGATTTCATTAATGATTTAATGTGTGTTTAGTATAATCTATGATGATTTCATTGATGATTTTGTTTGGAAAATAATTTCTAAGGTGAAATTCTTAGTGGTGGTTTCAAGTAAGTGATGTATTGATGTAAGGACTCAATCTTGGAAGTTATCATGACGCTACAATAATCACGTCATCTCATATAGAGAAGGAGATTATGTAGTGAGGAGTAGCAGGAGATCCTAGTCTATGGTTTGATGTTCTTTATCCATAGGTGGTGATAGACAGATTAATCTTGTGT